GAAAATTATATTTACAATAATATAATAATCGCCTTTGATCCAGAAGCATTGAAAAGTATCTTTACAATACTATAACAATCGCCTTTGATCCAGAAGCGTAGAATATTATATTTACAATAATATAATAATCACCTTTGATCCAGAAGCGTAGAAAATTATATTTACAATACTATAATAATCGCCTTTGATCCAGAAGCGTAGAAAATTATATTTACAATACTATAATAATCGCCTTTGATCCAGAAGCGTAGAAAAGTGTCTTTACAATATAATAATAATCGCTTTTGATTTAGAAGCGTAGAAAATTATCTTTCCAAGACTATAATAATCTCCTTTGATCCAGAAGCGTAGAAAAGTATCTTTACAATACTATATTCAGAATAGATTTATCTGATATAAGTGCCTTCATTTACTTTAAGAAATAGTAATTTAATGTTTTTATACTATCCTTTAATATTCTGTTAAAATATTGTTTTATATACTTAACAAAGAAGGAAACACCAAAAGAAGAAAAATCAAAGCAGATAGTGTTATCTAAGCATATAAAAGTGAACATCCACTTAGCATTAACCACAAATATATTAACAATCACTTAATATATATGTACACTTTCCTCAACTAAATTAAACATCATATTTGTCAATAGCATTGACGTAAAACTATAATTACATCATTGCATTCATTTCGATTTTTAGTCACTTTCTTGTACTCTTATCATCTGGAGTTGTATTTGTTTATATGTATATTTTATACAAATATTTATGATTATATGCATCTTCTTTTTTAACTTGTAAAGTTACAAGTGTTTAATATATTTTAAGGTATATATTTCTAACAGTAAGTAGAAATCTATATTGTTCCATTACTGGGGGCCGTTTTAAGTCATACGTTTTGTTAAAACTAACATTAACTCAATTATTTAATTTTCTGATTAGATTGACTTAAATAATTGTATTTGTATTTACTATTTTTAAAATCAAATGGCAGCTGTTGTTTGTATTGTTACCTAGTTACATCTAAAAGTGTTTTGCGAACGTCAACAAACAAATTGTTCAGTTGGCCGACAAAGGCTCCAGTAAAATGGCCGAAAGCTCGCAATACATAGATATACAATGAAACTCCGATTCCAAGCGCCCCGATTTAATGCGAATTCGGATATAACGCGATGGGTCATTAACTCTTTCGACACATACTAATAACTTTTAATATTTTAAGTGTATCTTTACAAAATTTTGTAGACTTATAGTAAACATTAGAAGCCTTTTGTGCACAAAAAATCAGATTTTTTAATGAAGCATTTTTACTTAAATTTGTCCCTGAAAATATCGATTCTTTTTTAAACTTTTCGTCATCTAAAAAATCTCAAATTTCCTTTGTGTAATCCCTAAAACCTTCTAAATGAAGTTCAAACGTTTTTTTTTTTCACTAAATCCTTCAACAACGTTCGAAGCCTATCTGAAAAGCCTGAACATGAAGGAAGTTTGCCACTTAGGTGGGAAGGTCTGGGCAGCAGTCAGCTCGGCGTGAGAAATGCTGGGAGAAGGGTCTGGGGCTAGCCTTTTCATCACGGCAATCCACCACGGAAGATGATGATGACGAGATAGATTTGTACGGCTTCATAGAGGAAGATGTGCGTGAGGCAAAGAAGCTGTCTGAATGAAGCAAAGAAGAGCTACACCAGTGGCACTCTGTTGACGATGAATGCCCAACATATGAGCACTTGACGGACGCCGAGATCGTCCGTAATGAAACTATAGCACCGACGGAAGCAAGTGTAGCGGTTCTCGAGCCACAAGAAGAAGATAATGAAGAGCCTCCATCACCACCACCAAAAATTGGCTGGAGACTCAGGAGGTGGACCACATAAAAATCCTTCAACTCAGAAGCATTCTAGATTTCGCTCACTGCTACGTTCAAGCAAAGAACACTCGATCAGTTTTTTAAGAAATAAACTGCAAATGATGATTGCTAATATTCTTGAATGTTTTTATTTGTTGTTTTGTTTATTAAAAAGCCTACTAAAAATAATTTGTGTTTTAATTTCTACTGTAACAACAACGATTCATTCGCAAAATTCTTTAATTCAGAGGTAATTTATTTACCAGAAAGGGAACGTGTAAAAAACTAGTCAAAGAGGGAGAAAATAGAGGTTTTTAGGATGTTAGGTCAACATTGGGTTAATTTGAACAGTGATTTTCTTGAACCCTGATTTAGCACGACCCCGCTTATTTCGCGATGACATTTAATGGACCCCAACGATCGCGAAATAACGGGGCTACACTGTATTTTAATGCTTTGAATGTCCAAGTAATTCTGTTTACCAGTTAGTTCTCTCGAATGAGTAGAGTAAGCTAATGAATAGGGTATCCATGTGCATAAGAAGGACCAGTCATAAAATATACATGTAAATCATGTAATGTATATAACATAGAAAAAAATTCACTTAATTCAAAAAAACCATGATAGTGAAAACGATAACGAATTTATCATAAAATATAATATATTGTTCTTTGTATAATTTAATGCAGTTGAACTCATAAAAGCGATGAAACCTGACGCCAGACGATTCGACCGGTTTTTGTTTGTTTTCTAGCTTCCGTGTGTTCGTGTAGTTTAGGTTTCTTCGTTTGTGCATAGACGGCAGCACCGATGCAGTAATAGATTCATAACGCCGGAGATTTTAGGCGGTAGCCAGACTGGAGTTAAACTAAAGGGTGTGGAGAACCTTATTCTAGGCATTATGGATCTGCTGGATGACGTTAAGAACTGGTATAACCACACGCTGGAAAATGGAGGTATGGAGATTTTGAAAATATTAACCTTTGCTCTTCAATCGGTCAAACACGACGGTTCATGATTTTCCTTGTTTGTTAACTAGTCTACACTTTTTTTATTTATTGCGTCAATAGTTTTACGTATAAGGCGAAAATATCCTTTATCAGTATGGCTTATTTACTTGTAAATAATCGTGTATATATATATAC